CCACCACCACCACCACCACACCACCACCATCCACCACACACCATCACCACCACCACCACCACCATCATCATCACCATCACCACCACACACATCACCCACCACCACCACATCACCACCACCATCATCACCACCATCACCACCACCACCATCACCACATCACACCACCACCACCATCACCACCACATCACCACATCACCACCACCATCACCACCACCATCACCACCACCATCACCACACCACCACCACACCATCACCCACCACCACCACCACCACCACCATCACACCACCACACCACCACCAACCACCACCACATCACCACCACCACCACCACACCACCACCATCACCACCACCACCATCATCACCACCATCACCACCACCACCACCACCACATCACCACCATCACCACCACCACCACCACCACCACCACCACCATCACCACCATCACCACCACCACCATCATCACCACCACCACCACCACCCTTAACCTTCTTACCCTCCACCTCGCTGCCTTCCTTCCACTGAGATCTGGCCAACGTGAAGCTCATCTGTCAGACAAGAGGCCACTTCAGGTGTTGAATATTGCTTCGGTTTCTCTTACTTTTTCTCATTTTTTCCACCTCTCTCTCTCTCTCTTTCTTTTTCTTTTCTGTTTTTTTTTCTCTCTCTTTTCTTTTTTATTTTTTTTTTTTTTTTTATCTTTCTCGGTATCAGTTTTATTTTCTATCTCTTTCCTTTCTTTTCTTCTTTTTTCTTCTTCTTCTTCTTGTCTCTCTCTCGCTATCAAGTCTCTCTCTGTGTGTTAGTGATGTGTGTGTGTGTTTGTGACTGTATTTATACGGATATGTTGTGGATGTACAGCTGCATGTTGTTATGTACACACGAACATAATTTAAGGAATAGATGAATAGATAGATAAATAAACATTTTCATGCATACATACATACATGCAAACATACATGCAAACATCATGCATAGATACATACATTCATACATACACATATACATACATATATGCACACACTCATGAATAAATGAATGTACGTATACATGTCATCATAAAGAGAAAGAGCTTAGGGAGACAGGGAATAAAAGAAAGGAATAAATGGAAGAGAAAAAAAAAAAAGAAGAAAGAGAGAGAGAGAGAGAGAGAGAGAGAGAGAGAGAGAGAGAGAGAGAGAGAGAGAAGAGAAGAAAAGAAAAAAGAGAGAAAGAAATAAGATAAGACTAGGCGGGAGCAATGGGAGAAGCGGAGGCGAATCGCGACTCAATATCACACTTATCAGCTGATATCTCACGCTTCGAGATCGTTTCCATAACAACGAATGGATGTCTCTCCCCCCTTCCCCCCTCCCCCCCTTCCCCCCACGTCTCAGCTTGACATTCATTAGGATCTCGACGCGGGTGCAAGTTAGATCAACATTACCCGGAATCTTGATTGCTGGCTTGCGAAAGAGAGTGAACGTGTATACATCTTGTCGTCGGGTTGTAGTTCATTTTGCCGAAGCGAAGTTGATAGGAAGAGTATGTATTATTCTTTTCTTTTTTTCTTTTTTTTCTTTTTCTTTTTTTTTTTCATTTCTTTTTCTCTTATTTTTTTCTTTCTTATTCTTTCTTTTTCTCTTATTTTTTCTTTCCTTCTTGTTTTCTCTTATTTTTTTTTCTTTCTTTTTTTTTCTTATTTTTTCTTTCCTTCTTTATTTCTTTTCATTTCTTTTTCTCTCTTATTTTTTTTCTTTCCTTCTTGTTTTCTTTCTTTTGATTTTTTTTCTCTTACAACTTTCTTCTCTTTTCTTTCTTTCTCTCTTGCAACTTCTTTCTGTTTCATTTTTTTCTAGTCTTTCTCGTTTTATTTTCTCTGTCCCTAACTTTCCTCTCTCCCTCCTAATTCCCCTCCTTTTTCTACCCCATTTTTTGCCCACCTCTTCCTCTCCCTACCCCAGCTGTCCCCACCTCCCCCTACTTCTCGCTCCCCCACCTCTTTCCCCCCTAATTATCCCTCCCCCACCTCTCCTCCACTCTCCCCCACCTCCACCCCCCACCTCTGCTTATCCTTCCCCCACCTCTCCCCACCTATCCTCCACCTATCCTCCACCTCTTCTCCACCTCTCCCCCACTTTTCCTCCACCTCTCCCCACCTCTCTCTTTCCCCACCTCTCAACGTCTTTCCTCCACCTCTCCCCCACCTCTGCTTATCCTTCCCCCACCCCCACCTCTTCTCCACCTCTCCCTCCCACACATTTCTCTCTTCCCCCCCACACATTTCTCCCACACACTCCCCCCCCATCTCTCCCTCCCACACATTTCCCCCCACCCTCCCTCCCACACATTCTCCCCCCCCACCTCTCCCTCCCACACATTTCTCTCTCCATACCTTTATTGGCAATAACCTCACATCCGGGTTTTCGTCCTTGAGTTAAACATCCTCAACATTCTGCCGCTTCCTTGGCCTGTCGCCTCCCGTCACCCTTGATGGAAAAGCGAAAAGGGAGGAGGAGGAAGGAGAATAAGAAGAGAGGAGAGGAGGGAGGAGGGATGAGGAGCGGGACGGGGAGAGGAGGGGAGGAGGGAGGAGGAGGAGGGGGAGGAGGAGGAGGGAGGAGGAGGAGGAGAGAAGAGAAGAGGAGTAGCAGAAGGGGGGAGAGGAGGGAAGAGGTAGAAGAAGGAGGAAGATTGGGGAAGGAGAGAGGA